ATGGGAAGTACAATTCAAGATTAGGACACAGCCAAACCATATCAGAAATGTTTAAGGTATGTACAAGTATAAAAAATAATAAACCAAATACTTTTGTAACCACAACCTGACTTAATAAATGCTCCCTGTACAGTTCAAGACTTGTGTGACCCTTTCTCATGGTTAATTTTACTCTCTTATATTTCTTAATACTTTAACAAAAGCAACACTAAATCCTATGTAAAGGTAATAAGCATGTTTTTACATTGTGTATATGTATGCAGTTGTACTGCCTGTGTGATTCTATACCTCATGAATGTATCATTTATTCTTCTGTGATTTTTTGTTCATTCGTTTTTTGTCATAGAATAACCCATTGTTTAAATATGCCACAAGTTTTTTTGTTAATGTAAGGTATGACAAATGTGTATCAGTGATTTTTATTTGGGCTTATCTGATTTCTAGTGAAAATCAACATCCTTTCATGTGTATTGGCTTTTTCTGTCTTGCTAGTCTTTAACTTGCCTATTAAAATATTTTGTGTATTTGCTTTCATGACTCACTGCAGCCTCGAGCTCTTGGGCTCAAGCAATTCTCCCACCTCAGCCACCCAAGGTGTGCACCACCATGTTCAGCTAGTTTTTTTGTAGTGATGGGCTTTTGCTATGTTACCGAGGCTTGTCTCAATTTTCTGCACTCAAGCAGTCCTATAGGTCTATTGGCTTTTTCATGTGTATTGGTGATATGGTTTGACTGTGTCTCCACCAAAATCTCATTTTGAATTCTCACGTGTTGTGGGAGGGACCTGGTGGGTGGTAATTAAAACATGGGGCCAGGTCTTTCCTGTGCTGTTCTTTTGATAGTGAATAAGTCTCATGAAATCTGATGGTTTTAAAAAGGGGAGTTTTTTCCTGAACAAGCTCTCTTTGCCTGCTGCCATCTACTTAGGATATGGCTTGGTCCTCCTTTCCTTCTGCCATGATTATGAGGCCTCCCCAGCCACGTGGAACTGTAAGTCCCATTAAACCTATTTCATTTGTAAATTGCCCAGTCTTTATGTCTTTATAAAGGGTATGTCTTTATCAGCAGCATGAAAATGGACTAATAAATTGGCTTTTTCAGGTTTGCTGTTCTTTAACTTGCCTAGTGAAATATTTTGCCCATTTTTCCATCCAGTTATTCTTTATAGATTTTTATAAATTCTTTATGTATGCTGGATAGTAACCTTTTGTTTTTAGTTATGGTCATGGAAAATACCTTCTTTCATTTTGAAGCTTTCTTTTTTTACTTTATGCATATTGTTTATTGATGACAAAAAGGACTTAATTAAAAGTAGCTGAATTTATCAGTTCATTCTCTTCAGATTTATGTTTATTTTTGTACCTTGTTTAAAATATTACCTACTGCAATCATTTTCTTTTCTGTTTTTTCTGTAAATGTTTTGAGACTTTGCTAGTACATTTCAAATATGCATCTGTGTATATTTCTGTCTTCCCATTTCTGTTCAGATATCTATTTACCAACCATATACTGAACACTTTTCTTTGTGCCAGTCACTGTTCTAGTTCCTAGAAGACAGCTGTGAATCACACAAGCAAATATCTGTGCTTCTGTGGTGCTAATATTCTACTGTTTCATTCTTCCAATACCCTGTTATGTTAATTACTTTGTATGTCAGAATAACCAGAAAGGCAAGTTCAACTACCGTGTGCTTTTGCAAGATTGCCTTTGCTTTTTTTTTTTTTTTTTTTTTTGGTCCCTTATTCTTTCATGTAAATCATAATCGTTTGTTTGAGTTCCACGAAAAATATCATCCACTCAATAGATGACTTTTCTTATCTTTCTATTCCTGTGAGTCTTTGATACTCTTTCCATGTATATGTGAAAAATTATATTTTAAGACTAATTAGCCAGGAGTGGTGGCTCACACCTATAATCCCAGCATTTTGGGGGGCCAAGACCATAGGATCACTTGAGCCCAGGAATTTGAGACCAGCCTGGGTAACATGGCAAAACCCTATCACTACAAAAAAATTAGCTGAGCATGGTGGTGCATGCCTGTAGTCCCAGCTACTTGGGAGGCTGAGGTGGGAGGATTGCTTGAGTCCGGAAGGTCAAGGCTCCAGTGAGCTGTGGTTGTGCCACTGCACTCCATCCTATAGGACAGAAAGAGACCCTGTCTCAAAAAGAAAAAACCAAAAAAGCAAAAGTATAATCTGAAAAGTGGAGCCACTTGTTGGTTCATAACATAATACATTGTATCCTGAAAACAACATATTTTATGTAATTGAGAAAAAAATCAAAGATAGAAGTAGTTGAAACAAAAATTCCCACTCACTGGCATCATAAATCTAGGTTTTGCGCATTTCTGTTAGGAAACTAACATTACAAACTACTTATTAGAAAGTCATATACTTTCTCACTTTGCTAAATTTCATGGCTTTAATATCTTCTCAGTCCTTGGATAGTGAGTATGAGGGTTGTCTTTTTTTTAAGAAAATATCATATCAGTGGAATTTTTCACAGCACCTCAGTGCTTCTGACGCTAGGAAATTGGGCTTTATTCTATATAAAATAATCATAACTATTAATGTATAGTAGGTGAGTATTGCTTGATACCTTACAGTATTTCTACATGATTCCTTGTTTGCAGGATCTTGGTAGTGTCTCATCTTTATCTTTGTTTCTTCTCTCTTACATCTTAATATGTTACCCTAAGAACCAGAAAACAGCAAACACGTCCTTAGTTGGCCACAGGCCTGTTACTGCACTTTGGTTAAGATTTTGTTCTGCAGGTCTCCTTTCTAACTGTTGGACGCTGCCCTGTTATTAGAGCTATTTCCACTTCTAGTGAGTTCGTTCTCAGACTGTGATGAGATTAGAACCATTTCAACTTGTGAATGGCTGCTTTTTTAGCAGTTAAAAACCTTCATCAAGTTTATAGAAATTCTTGGGTTAGATTCAGTCTGATTTTTTCAGTGCTAATAATCTCTCTCCATGTCCTGAGCCAAGCATTTCTATGTGTTTATTGTAAGTGATGAGGTAAAGTAAGATATTCCCGCCTTGTTCATATGTTTCAGGTAGCTTTTCTTGTGTAGTATCCTTCTTGTGAAACTAACTCTAGAGATGTTATATGACATTTTTCAGTCAGCTATCTCAGAACTTGTTTTACTTTGTGAGAGTAAATAAATAGGATTTCTACTCATGGCTTTGCTGCTAATTACTACCTAGCTGTCCAGTTGTCAGTAAGTCAGTTTTTATCTCTTGTTTCTATTTTCTTAATCTACAAAATGTTGCAGTGGTACTAGATAGATTACTTCTTGGGTTTTGTTTAACTGTCATTTTCCCCCATGGCTTTCTATGTGGATTCTGTGAAGGCAGATAATGATCTATTAATCATCCATTATGTTGTTTCTATTTGCCATTTAAATTTTATTTCGTTTTTGGTGAGTATGTCTATTGTCAGCATTTAAAAGAGGAAGACAACTTTCATTGTCATTTATAGTATATTTAGCAATAAGACACTGTACGATTGTATCCCCTAGCCAGTGTACATTTTTATAAATGTATTTGTAAAAATCCATTTTCTTCCTCAAGAATATTATTTAAACGTTTATTGAACATTTACTATGCAACCAACCAGTGCCTGGCACTGGAAACAATAATGAATGAACCTGCCCTTAAGGAACTTTTAGCATAATGATTTTTGGTTTGGTGGCAGCCTGTTCTGTTCAACCATGCTAATATCCTGTATGCCCTGCCATACGCTTCTATCTTCTTTTTTAGGAGTGTTAACCTGAGAAGGATCACTTCTTTATGTCCTTGCTTGGTGATTATAGTAAATTTCAATGTTCTTTTAGGGTCAAGAAAGTATATGTCGACGATCTTGTAAAGATGACATATACATCTTTTAGAGCATAATATATTTCTGAATGATGAGAAATTAATTTTTTCATTGGTCACTATATTGTAGGACAGTCATAAATGAATGAAGCACAGGTTGAGCTTGACACATTTAAAGGGACCTTGAAGTAAAAGAAGAACCTTTAAATCTACCGAGAATGGTTCTTAGAATAATTTAAGAGGCAGTATGGGTGTTTTGTATCCTTGAAAACTCTTTGAATGGCAACTTTATATACTAGATTATATTTAACTTTCCCTTACTCAGCTGTTTGTCAGAGTCCAAGAATTGTTTTATTCCTGAATTAAGAAGTCTGAAGTCCCATCGTGCTCACTTTTATGTACCTTTACCTCTGTATGACATTGGAGGAAAAGGTGTCATTTCAAAAATACGGTTTCTTTAGCCATCCAAGTTCACTAGTGCCAACAAACTGGCCCTTTTGTGGCTTCATACTTACAAATATATTTCAGTGTTTTTCACTGGGTAAGTTATCTTGTGGAGAAGGCAAAGAACTTATAAATTCATTTCATAATGTCCAAAAGATAATCCAGGAGACGTATTTTCACAGGCATAGCTCCTTGTTTTGTGTCTCACGAGGGAGAAAGAGGCTTTTATCAAATAATATTGTAGGACAGCTGTCTTGATTTTACTTAAAATATAAAGTTTTATTATTACTTCAATATTCATATTCGTTTTTTCATTCATGTAAACTTGTCATTTCTGCTTAAAGAACTTCAAAGTTTCATCAAAATAGTTTCATTTTAATTTCAGGTAGCTGAGAATATAATTTATTATACATGTATCAAAGTCCTTCTGTTAATCGTGAATGTCATCACATCAGTATTTTTTAAAGACCCGTTAATGTAGTATAATCTCTACTTTCTTAAGTAAAACGATTGTCATAATCAGTCCATTATTGTAACACTCTAATACCAGTCCTGAAACGTCCCATGATGTGAAATAAAGAAGATAATGATAATGATTCTAATGATACGAGAATAGTAAAGGCATAATAGGATATGTCTATTGATACCTTATCTTTACTTTTGTAGCTCTTGATCTTGTTCATAAGGGTGAAATTACTACTTATTCTTACCTTTTCTTTTACTTTAATACATAGGGGTGTGAGCTTATTTCAACTCCTGATCAAGAACACACTGACTTTACTAAGTGCCTTAAAGTGCTCCAAAAGAAGATAGAAGAAAAAGACTTAAAGGTAAGATATGCATGTATTTGGTGGTTATTCCAAAGGATGTGAAAAAAAATTGTTTTTTTTTCACTCAGCTGAAATGGATATTTACTTTTGTGCTGTTTTTTTTTTTTTTTTAATTGCTGTCAGGTTTCCCCCGCTGTATAGCAGATAAATCTACACTTAGCTGCCAAAACATTAACGTGTGCACTTAAACCAGGGGACACAAATGTAAACATCTTACAGTGGCATGGTAATAAAATGGGTGAACTGGACCATATGTCAAGTAATCAAAACTGGGAACTCATTCTTGCCTGAAAGTGACTAGCTACCATTCATCTCTAGTTGATTGTTGCCATGAAGAGCTCTATGTATTTTTGCACTATGTCTATTTGCATATTATACAGGCAAAACAAATATGGCCTTGATCTGGCCCCTGAGCTATCATTGCAAATTTTTATTTAAATGAATATCAACTTTTTTTAAGCCAGAGAAGAGTCTACTGCTTTGCATTTTCTTGCATTTATGCTCTTTAAGGTATTCAGTACTGATTTTCACCCAGCATCCAAATGTTTAATTGCATTAATTAGTACACAAGTTTATACTTCATTTTTTGATACCTGTTGAAATGGTATGCAAAGTATTTTAAGACTGTGTTTAATGAAGAGCTACAAAATTAAACCTGAAGCATCGAATGACAATTGACCTTTTTTCCCCCGCAGTAGCAAGGGCAATAAGTTTTAAGCTGAGATGAATTATCAGCTGCGTAATTTTAAACCAAGAAAAGTAGGAAAACACCCTTGTATATTAGAATGATTTTGATAGTACAAGTAACAGAAAATACATGTCAACCTGCATCAATACCAAGTGATATAGGGCAGTCTTGAGACAGAGCTCAATCAGAACTCATGTTCTTTTTCTTTTATTTATCTCGGCTCTGCTTTGTAGGTTTTGTCTTCACATTAGCTTCCCTGATTGTCTCCAACTGCCACCTGCAGTAACATTTTACCCTTCACATGTAGGGAGATTAAGGCATAGAGCTTGGGGGGGATACATCACTTCCCACTATCATTGGACTCAACCCTTAAGATCTCTCCTTTAAACCACTCTTGCTTTTGGCAAAGGAGAACGAGAGAATCCTGATTGTCTTGGACTGGAGCCAGGTGTGGGATCAATCCACGTGGCTTATCTATTCAAACTACGTGGCTAATACGTATTTGGCAGGATGGGATAGATATCAGAGCAGCAGCTCTAACCAAAATTTACTCTCTAGCAAAAGTTTGTTAAAGATACACTCTAACATATATTTACTAAGTTGCAGTAAGTAGTACATTCTTTTCTCCCTTTGAAGTAAAACCTTGTTAACTATCACAATTGGCAAGCAGCTTGATCTGCGAACTCAACCAAAATAATTGAGTGAACGTTTCTCGTCTCTGTTGTAGCTTTGCTGAACTATATCAAATGTATTGTGCTATTTCCAGCAGTGAATTGATATAATTAAACATTTGTTTAATGAAAGCAGAAAACAGCCGATTGAGAGTTACTTATTTCATCCAGATATCACTGATTTGGTGTTTCTTAGGAAAAAAAATGTAAATATTCACAGCTGTCTTTTGTTTTTCCCAGCACCTCCACTGACATGATTAAAAGCTGAGATGCAATTATGTGAGTCTAATGCGTTGTGTCTAACCGATAGTATCTATAATACAGTATTCTGTCATTGAGCCTTGAAACAAATCATCATATCTTAAATTCAACAAGGCCCAAATCTAGAGAGAGCCCCAAACTGGGAGATGAGGGTGTGATCTGCAAACAAATCTGACAGTCTTGGCCAATCTGGTGGGGAGTCTGGGAGCAAGAGTAGCTGTTAGAGGACCCCTGCATTGGGCAGAAATAGCAACAACCTTGTACTCCAACTGTGCTTAGTCACAGACTAGAGGGTGCTCATGAGAGTGTGGACTTGGCTCAGAGGTTGCCAGGGAAGAGTACAGACTTGGTGGCATGATGTGCTGCCTCCTGAAGGGGTTGCAGCGGGCTGATAACGGATGACTGGCCTCTACACAGCCCAACAGTGAGTTCTTTTTTGAAGAGCGATGCAGTGGTGCACTGCCTGTGCTGCCTCAGGCCCCGACATGCTTTGGGCCCAATGCATTCTCCAGCCCCATCCTACACCAGTGTTTCTCCTTTTTTCTAAACTATGCCGTATTTTCTCCTCTCTCCTGCTTTAACGTGTTTTTGTGTATGTTGCCCCCTCTGCTTGGAATCTGTTTTTCCTTTTTTTTTTTTAATCTAGCCCATGCATGCTGGAGAGTTTCTTTTTTTTTGAGGTCTGATACATTTATTTATCTTTATATATTTTTTATTTCAATGGGTTTTAGGATACCTGTGGTTTTTGGTTACATGGATGAATTGCACATTGTTGAAATCTGAGAGTTGAGTGCACTTGTTACTCCAGTGTAGTGTACATTGTACCCAATAGGTAGTTTTGCATCCCTCAACCCCCTCCCACCTTCTCCTCTTCTGAGTCCTCGGTGTCCATTGTATCACTATGCCTTTGCACACCCATAGGTTAGCTCCCACTTATAAGTGAGAAAATGCAGTATTTGGTTTTTCATTTCTGAGTTACTTCACTTAGAATAGTGGGCATGGCAGAGTTTGACTGGCTGTCCTTAACTATCACTCGCAGTTAGGTTTAGCTACTCTACATTTCCATACCCTCCTTTATTTTTTCTTTAGGGCATTCTGAACAATTTTGATCATTTTATTAATTATTTCTAATTGTTTACCTACAGTCATTCTTGCCAGCTTGACTGTACGGCCCATGAGGCTGAGCTCAGGTCTGCTTATTCATAACTCGACAGCAGTACTTTGCATATAAGAAGTACTCCTTGAAAGTTTGGTACGTTTTATGCACTACAAGAACATACAGGAGAGTGGAACATAACACAGTTGGGGGACAGGCTTTTTAGAGAAGGCTGAGACATAATAAGCAAATGGGAGCTAGACAGTGCATTAGTCCATTTTATGTTGCTATAAAGGAATACCTGAGGCTGGATAATTTATAGATACGAGCTGTATTTGGCATATGCTTTATGCTTATGCTGGCTGTACAAGCATGGCATCAGAATCTATTTGGCTTCTCATGACCCCTCAGGAAGCTTTTACTCATGGCAAAAGGTGAAGGGGCAGCAGGCCTGTCACATGGCAAGAAGGGAGCAAGAAAGATGCCAGGCTCTTCATAAGAACCAGTTCTCATGGCCGGGCACGGTGGCTCACACCTGTAATCCCAGCACTTTGGGAGGCCGTGGCAGGCGGATTACGAGATCAGGAGATAGAGACCATCCTGGCTAACATGGTGAAACCCCATCTCTACTAAAAATAAAAAAATTAGCTGGGGCAGTAGCACGCGCCTGTAGTCCCAGCTACTTGGGAGGCTGGGGCAGGAGAATCACTTGAACCCAGGAGGCAGAGTGCCGGGTCCGACCCACAGACCCTGACACAGTGACAGATGAAAGACGTACACTGACACAGATATTTTGCCTGTCAGTGGGGCTAAGGGGTTCTGCTGCTTGAGTCTGCAGCTTCGGCCTTGATAAAACAGCAAAGTTCACATTTATTTAGTACAGATTAAATGACAAAGTTCTCAAGTAAACACCACTAGAGGGTAATTAACATTGTCGACCTCCTGAGTAGAGAACAGTCATGAGCCTGCAGATGATCAAAGGTTGGTCCTAGGACCACTCAGTAAACAAGCTATTTAGAAAAAGTCCTAGGACCACATAGTAAACCAGCTATTTAGATAAACTCCTCTACATTCCTATGTATCTGTGCCCTAAGCTTTTAAGAGAATTCATTTCCCTTCAGCCAAATCTTTTACTGAAGCTACGCAAACCTGCTGGCCTTCCAAGAAGGTTTGTGTCTATTTCCTATAACTTTATCTTTGTAGTTTCTCCCACTACCCTGACCGATCCCCTACAGTGGAGGTTGTGGTGAGCTGAGATGGCACCACTGCACTCCAGCCTGGGTGACAGAGTGAGACTCTGTCTCAAAAATTGGGGATCGCATTTCAACATGAGATTTGGAGGGGACAAACATCCAGACTATATCAGACAGAAAAGGGGAGAAGAGTGTTTCAAGAAGTATTATTGTAGTGCACACAGAGTGTGGGCAGCACTTTGTAGGAGTGGGCACAACTCTATCTCCATCCTCATAGGGTCCTGGCTAGGCCTTGAGAATTAAATTCACCTAAGATAGATTAACAAGAACAAAGCATAAAATTTTATTTCATACAAATTTTACACGACATGGGAGCCCTCATATAGAAGTGAAGACCCAGAGAAGTACTTAAAGCCCGTTACTTTATATACTAGATTGGACAAAGAATAGTGTGTTGTGAAGAAGCATCTAACTTACGTGGGGAGGCTTGAAATGTAAGAGTTATTATATAACAAGACAAGGATGCCCTCTCTCAGCACTCCTATTCAACACAGTATTGGAAGTTCTAGGCAGGGCTGTCAGGAAAGAGAAAGAAATAGAGGCTGTTCAACTAGGAAGAGAGGAAGTTCAACTATCTTTGTTTGCAGATGACATAAACCTATATCTAGAAAAGCCCATTGTCTCAGCCTAAAAGCTTCTTAAGCTGATAAGCAGCTTCAGCAAAGTCTCAGAATACAAAATCAATGTGCAAAAGTCACTAGCATTCCCATACACCAACAACAGGCAAGCTAAGAGCAAATCATAAATGAACTCCCCACTCAAAATTGCCACAAAAAGAATAAAATGCCTAGGAATACAGCTGACGAGGAAAGTGAAGGACTTCTTCAAGGAGAACTACAAACCATGGCTCTAAGAAATCAGAAATGACCCAAACAAATGGAAAAACATTCCATGCTCATGGACAGGAAGAATCAATATCATGAAAATGGCTATACTGCCCAAAGTAATTAATAGATTCAATGCTGTTCCCATTGAATAATTGAATAATAAAACTACTAACACGTTCTTGACAGAAGTAGAAAAAAACTATT